TGAGTGAGGGGGCTCTCTCTGCCTATCCATTAAAACGATTGTTCCATGTGGCCGGTCTGGTTGTGGTGCTCATTGCCCCGGGGGCCGGGGCCACCCCCGCGCTTAGGGATGCGGGGAGGGATGCTGGGGGAGGGACGCCGGGTGGGAGCACTGAATCATTGCAACGGGCCGGGAGAGCATCGGAGAGATGGCAGACGGACCTCACCGGTGAACCCAGCGGGGATGCTGTCACAAGGTAAGGCTTTGGTGAGTAGATGGGGAGGGTGTGGGGCGCAGCTCTGCCCTATTCCCCCCCGCACAGGATCCTGCCGGGCCGCTTGGGGCCCCAAAAGGTTTCCGCGTAGCCCTCGGCCCCGGCGGCGCAGCATCGCAGGGGATGCTCGTGGAGCAGCCGAAGCGAGTCCCGCGGGAAGGAGAGACACAGCGATGTGAGGTGGGTGTAGGAAACCGGGTGCCCCCGTGCAAAGCCGCATATGGGCAAAGCACGGCGGGACGGCACCACACGTTTTGGGCGTATGTACAACCTCACTGCCCACACGAGCCAGGGGTGTGTCAGGGCTTGTCCAGGCCGTTGTCTTGGTTTTTTGCTGATTTGCAGAAGGTTCCTCGGTGTGTTTGGTCCTCAGCCTTGACCGCCGTCTGCTTCCCCAAGGCACCCGGGGTGTTTTCGTAGGATCAGAAGCCGGTCAGTAGCGATGACAGAACTGTTTTCTGTTTTTTTTTTTCTTGACCCTATGATGAGTTTGTGCAGCTCAAGAAATGGGCACAGAGAACGGGGAGAGATCAAAAGGGATGTCAAGGCGTTGCCTTGTGGTGTGACATGTGGCAGCTGAGAGATACTGGTGTCAGGGAAGGGGAGAGCCGTGCCTTGAAGGCTTCATGGCACGTCCCAAGTGAGGGACAGGGTAGTGAGGACGTGGGGACAGGACGGCCGGGCGCAGGCAGCTTTCTGCATCCCAGGGTCAGGATGGCACAGGAGGAGGCAGCCGGCCAGCCCAGCCCCACGGGGGAATGCTGGAGCCATCCCTCCCGGCACCTGTGGTTTATAGGAGAGTGTGTTGCAGCCAGTTTTGTCCTTGGCAGCAGATAACGCCTCTCCCAGGGGGAAAGATGGTGGGGGTCTTTGTGCAGGTCTTAGGACTCCCAGGCGGGGATGGTCGTCCGTGGTAGAGCAAGCCTGGCAGGAGAAGCAGCGCCCAGATGCTCGGGGGTGTGGGAGGGGATCTGACCCGGCACCCAAGGACGGATATGGAGGTACCTGGGCTGTCTCCCTCACCTCCTCCCTTTAATGCCAAATTTTTTGGTGCTCTAGGCGAGATAGCAAGGGGTGTCTGGTGGCAGGGTTTGAGGCGTGAAGAGCAAGTTAAAGAGGGAGAGGCTGGTTGACAGATGCATTTATGTATTAATTTATTGACATATGTCTTGGTGTGTCTTGGTGGGAGGGGGAGGGATGGATGTCATGGCCTGAAATATCCCTGAAATACGTCCCTCTGGACGTAAGAGCTGCGGTCCTTGTCCTTAGACACAGGTCGGGTGTTGCCGAGGGCCACGGAGGAAACCCCTCCTCGACCCATAAAGGGAGCCGGCAGGCACCCCGCAGCCAGGCTCGCAGCGGGAAGGGGCCGCGGTGCCTCCCCTCATGCTCGGCGATCATATAAAAGGGGGTGATGTAGGTGGGGCGTCGGGACGTGCCATGAGCTGGGGCGTTTGGGCTGTAGGTGTTTCTTTCCAGCGGAGGCGTTAGCGAGTGGAACGTCAACGGTGGGACACGTAGGGGCTGCGTGCAAGAGGCAAGCATTCCTTCGTGGCACCTTGTAGTTACATTGCACCAGTCCTGGCTCCCTGCTGGGGTTTTATTTTGGCAGAGGCTCAAAACAGAGGGTTTCCCACAACGGTTGCCCACGCCACTCGCCTTGCTGCAGGGAACATCAGGGAAGGCTTCTTGTCTGGGCCCCCAGCATGGATGCAAAAGGGAGCGTGGAGGTTAGGATGTTGCTGGTCCCGTGCTCGAGGTCGGGAGGTTTTCTGCCGGGATCATACAGCCCAGAGAGCCGCAGGGGCAGCGTCGGGCAGGCAGGGTGGCTCTCCCCTCCTGGACCCCTCTCCTGGGGAGGCCAGTGGGTCTTGGGAAGCACTTACCTTTCTGCCGGGGGTCACCTGAGGGGGACAGCAGAGGTGTTCCTGCTGTATGGAGTTGCAGTATTTTGTAGCAGTGCCGGGATGGAGCCATTTGCTCGGCCACCTGCTGCGCACAAGCGCCCGCTGTCAGCAGGAGGGCAGTTTGCTGCAGGGTTCGGGGATAAGCTCTCGGGACCAGGCTTTTCATCTGTATGTCAGGGAAGGCGAAGAGAGGCCCGCTCCTGCTGAGGGGATTGCAGAAAGGAAGCAAGCCCCCAGTGCGTCCGGCATTGTCCTGCAGCCCGTAGTCCCTCCCGCTCCCCCGCGGTCACCCCAGGTGCCCCCAGCAGCATTCCCATCCTGGGACATACGGCCGAGGGGCATCAGCCTTGGGATTTCCCTAGGGAAACGGGGACTCTCATCCGCTCAGCGGCCACGCGAGCTCTGTCGGCAGCACGCAGCAACAAGGGGACCCAGAGGCGATGAGGCAACAGCTGTCCTCTGGCTCGCGCCCGAGCTGGTTAGCGAGATGTGGGTCTCAAAGCTTGGTGGCCGCCAGCCCCACATTAGGGGAGCTTGTTGAATGTTTTTTCCCGGTTGACGGGGTAGAAAGGTGCGGCGTCCGCAGGGGAGCAGGGGGGGCAGCCTGCTGCCTCAGCCCCACGTTTTTAGGGCGAGATGGTAGCTGTGCCAGGGAGACGCCGAGGGTCGCGGTTCCTTCTCCTCCCAGTCTTCACCATCTTTGTCCTTTGATGAAGACATTTCGTCCACGTCGCACGCCGTCAGATCACGATAGGAGCAAACCACCCTTAGGAGCGTGTCATCTGTAGAGGCATCCCTTGCGCGGGGGTAGGTTTAGTTGTCAGAGCGGGCGTTGTCACAAGACAACAGAGAAGATGCTGGGAACGGCTCGGTCGCTGGAAGGAGGCCCCCGATCATGCCGCTTCTGCTGACTTACCCTGCAGGGGCTCCGTCAACAGGTACGTGCTCATCGGCGGCTGGGGAATGGAGGTGGGCGGGACCCAGGACCCATCGGCAGAGCTGCAAGGCTGGTCCCCAGGGGAGGCGGGAGACGGGGCGAGGGACAGCCTGAATAGCAGCGGGCCCCCGGTTGGGGGGCTCGAAGTGTCGCCATTGTAGGGGGTGATCAAAAGAGGCTCCAACTAAGTGTCGGGCGAGGCTACAGGAGCGACGGAGGTCCCAGGCGCTCAGGAGCCCTCCCGGCTCGGCGCGGCGGACAACGCGGCCCTCCCCACGGCCGGCGCCCGCCCGCGCGG